ATATCTCTGAAACGTGCACAACATCTCTGACACGTGCACAACATCTCTGAAACGTACACATATAATACCCCTAAGTTGATCCTCTATAAAATGCCGATGCTTTGACTCTATAAAATGCTGTTCCGGGACCCATTTTATAGAGGACTGGCTTGGCCGTCTATAAAATGCCCCTCCAGAGCTCCCTATTTTATCATTTTATAGAGAGCTTCCTTCCCAGCATGAAAGATGATAGAGAGGTACAAGACGTTGCAGATAGATTATGCAATTTATAGGGGGGATTCTTTGCAAAATGTTACCGTCAAAAAATAAGTACCACAAATGGCTTTGTTGGTAGTTGGACCACGGCTTATAGACGGCCGTGTGGTTTTGGGGGGTTGGGAGGGTTTTTGGGAGTTTTGGGGGGGGGCTGATAACGTTCTTGGCTGCCCGCCTTACAAGATCTTCTCTTGGTCTTGCTGCTACGCTATGCACTCTTCTCTTGCAAAATGATCCAGCAATGGATGTGGCGTCAAACCATTTTGCCGTGTTCTCCCAAAGAATTGATGTCACGCCTTGTCGATCTGCTGAAGAAACATCATGACTTTCAATAACGGCTTCATCCACTGAAACAAATAGTTTGGGTGCATTGCAAAATGACTAAAAAACATGTTTTTCCCCATCTAATTGCGAGATGAAACCGCTTTAACCAATGGCACGGCTGCGTAAAAGGTCCAAAATGGACTGAGATGTTCTGACCACTGTAAATCAGCAGAAAAACAAAAGCAAAGCATTGCTGGTGTGCTGAATTCCCCACGGCCGCCTGTGAGCCGTGTACCTGGTAGTTTGTTTGGGAAAACATTCATATAAATGCATACATTTATATATACATACTTAATAGATAGATAGATAGATAGATAGATAGATCTGCACAAATTTTAACATTTCACTATGGTACAAAAGCAACTTTTTCTTGTTTACAAACCATAAAAGTGACATTTTTCATTTTGCATCATTTTCCCCACTGCTTTTCTCCCGTTGTGTCTCCCCTTTCCTGCTCCCCGTTGTGTCTCCACACTTCCGGCTGAAACCTCGGCTCGCTGGCGTTTGTCGAGTCGGGGTTCCGCCAACGCGCGCGCGCGCGTTAAACGCGCGCGCGCGTTGGTGGAAAGGCGGAAAGACTGGGCTGTTGCCCGATGTCGCGCTGCGTGTTTTTGCACACGCGTCTGCGGAGAAGCATTTCATAGAGATGACGGAGAGGTCATTTCATAGAGGGTTCCCACTTGCTGTCTGGATGTTGGCTGACGGAGGACCATTTTATAGCCAATTTTCTCTATAAAATGCTTCGTAAAGCATCCTAGGGAACAAGTAAGGGGTATCACATATAGAATACTTGAAAACACTGGGTGGGGGCGGTGAAACACGTCATACCCAGATATATAAGCTCGCCATGTGCTTTAGATGCTTTAATCATGGTTAAGTTTCCCTGTGATATATTAGAAACACATGGTGATCTATGCTAGTATGCCATGTTTTGTCTTGTTGATTTTGCCATAGAATGGTTTACCTTCTGGCATTTTAATATATATAGCTATTGGTATTGAGAATCATGTTTTTCAATAGGTAAATCATTTGTTCATCCATTTGCTATAGCTATATACCAGAAGGTATAGATCATCATTTTCACATTGATAGCACCACTCTTAGTGGTTAAATCTCATGTGTTCACGTCATACCTTTGATGCTGAAGTTACTGCTTCCACCGTTAAGAAAACAAGGCGAGGTCAGTTATAAATAGTTATAATTTTTGTTGGTTAAAAGAACCATGAATCCATATGAATCCTATGAACTATAGTTATATTATGTTGTATTAGTTACCCTTTGGTTATTTAACAGTTCGCCATGGAAAATCCACCAATTTTTAGTTCGGTAAACCATCTATTTCTATTTATTTCTATGGACCATTTTCATCCATCTATACCATGGCGAACTGTTAGTCATAACCAGGCCGGGTAAATGTCTTCTGATGTCCTTTTCCCCTGAGCCAAACCCTCCATTTCCAGGGGATTTCCCAGCTAAATTTCCCATGGTAAATCACCATGTTTAATAGGAAAATCACCATTTTTAATAGGTAAACCATCTGTAAATGGATCATTTTCCATGGCTATGTTAGTCATAACCAGGCCGGGTATATTCCCAAAGAATTCCCCAAAGAGATCCCATGGATTTCACCCTTGGCGCGGCCAAGGTCACCTGCGGAGCGCCTGCTGCCCCGGGTTCAGCGGCCCAACCGAGACCGAGCCTTCTCCGGCAAGGCGCAAAAAAGGGCGCGACCGGGGGGCCGTAGTGATGGGTGATAGGGAGTAATATTAACAATATATTACTATGGGTCATTAATAATAATCTTATCTCATTACTATGGATCATTATACGGAGATATCAATTATATTACTATTACTATGGTAATGATAATGTTATAATTTATGGTATTCAATATTCAATATTCAATATTCAATATTCAATATATTACTATAGGTCATAAGTAATGATAATGTTATCTCATTACTATGGCATACTATGGGTCATTATAGGGAGATATCAATGATAATAATCCATAGCTATGTTGATGGTTAATATTATTCAACTATGGGTAATATTAGCAAACTATCCTATATTATCATCCATGGGTTATAATATTATAGTTATATTACCGTTATTGGAGATTATTATGACCCATAGTACGGAATCTATCAACCAACTAGTATAACGAGATGGGATGGGGGTATTTTTAAATGGCTCAAAAAAATATTGAAAGACACGATATACCACCCTGTAAACTAACATGTGCAGTTCGATGCGGAAAAAACAGCATGAAAGTAGATCATATTATTCCGACTGCAAAAGCACGGGATTTCCACATATATCTTCGTTTATCCTAGGGTAAGTTGAGAAATAAGAAGATGTGGATATCCATAGATTGAAAACTAGCAAAACCACAGGAAAACAATTGGAAACTCGACCATCCATGACCCATCGCAACCTTGACCGGTTCCCACCGCGAACGCCAGGTCTTCAAAGTGGAGTCGTAGCGATCTTTTGACCAAGCCGCTGAGGGTTGAAGAGCTTGAAAAAAGAGGGCTTCAAACAGATTGTGTTTCCATGTTGGAGGGTATGTAGCATGGACAGTTTCAAGAATTGATGTTTTTTTGTTCCTGATTGGAGCCTTTTTGCGCTTGCTGGAATCTTTTGGAGCCGGTGGTTTGTGTTGATGGAGTGGATAATCCCCTGAATCCTGGGATATTTTAGACCAGTGGTGAGGGATCCCCAGCATATGAAAGTTGAAGCGAGAGTTTCAAGTAAGAAACACATCATTCAAAACAACGGTTCATGAGAGTAATTACCCTCTGGTAATTTAACATAGCTATTGAGAATGGCCATTTATAGAGAATTTTCCTATGAAAAATGGTGATTTTCCATAGTTATGTTACTTTACCAGAGAGTAATTACTTGGATGAACCTGCCAATGTTGATGAATCATGTGGGTGCTCCAATGCTGCATGGGGCATTGAGCACATCATTGGTGTTGGCATTTGGTTCTTACCAACAATGGAACCCAAAACATGTTGTGAAGATGCCAACATGTTGCCCCACAAGTTGTCTTGTTTTCCCCCTTTCAGATATGATATGCGCTGCATATATATATATATATATACATATAGATACATATGCAATTACAAAGGAATATGTATATATATATATAGAATATAGATCAGTTTCTCTTCAAAACACCATGTGTTTTCCAGTGATTCTTGGTTGCAGTAGTTATGAAACTCATTCTAATCATGATATATATATATATAGAAATATCTATGATATGTGTGATATTCAATCCTCTTGGTCATATCAGTATCCCTCATTCTTGGGTGCATTGATTATTCTTCAGCTTATGTCTCATTGATTCCAGGGTCGTCACGGTCGTTCCCCCGTTGCCACGCCTTTTTTTGTCACGGGGCTCGAGTGGTCTCGATCTGTTTGCCAACCTTCTTCTGGTACACTGCCCGCGGCTCGGCGGGGATTGTCCTGACATTTGGCAAATGGGTTACCCTTGGGTTACCCCAATGGAAAACATAGAAAAATATGAGGAGTTTACCCATGGTTTCGCTGGGAAAATGATCCACAACCAGTGGATTTTCATGGATGGATACCCCATCTATGTTAGTTTACCCATGGGTACACCATGTTTTACTAGAGGCGGTAAATTGAACCCTTTCTATTTTTCGGGGGCTTCTCATAGCTCAATCAATTTCACATGGATGAAGAACCTCATTTGGGCTTCCCATTGAGGTCTGGATGATTTGGTCGGGGGACTTGGAAGGATGTTGAACTGTGGTCTGCTCATGATTTCCGGTGGATCTTGCATGATGTGATCATGGCATGCCATGGTTCTTTCATGATGTCCTCGGCGGTTGCTGAGCGCATTGCTTCGGGAAATTGTGCGGCTGAAAGTCAGGCTGCTACTGGCTCATGTGGTGCTCTCTAGTGCACAGGTTCTGGGAATGGCTGGGAATGATGGCGAATTCCCCCTTTGGGATGATAGCTACACTGACAAGATAGAGAAACAGAACGAGGGACAGATATATAGATAGATAATAGGTATTTATTGTGCACAAACGGATCTTTTTATATAGTGTATATATATATTATTTATATGTATATGTATATAATGTGTGTGTTTGTTTATACTTATGAGATGATGTGCTTGTGTTCACGGCTGCATTGGATCCCGTGGCCATCCGCTGTTTTCACAGCCTATTTTGCAGTGCAGGGCCTTCGTTCGATCACTGGGAATCTACCGAAAGCTGGAAACAATTTTTAAAATTTGAGAGACGAGTCAGAAATTTATAGAACCACTAGGAATTTCAGAATCTACCTTTGTGGAAAGTCAGAAATATATAGAACCACTATAGGCATATATAAGAAGATCAGAATATCATATGAGGTGTCATAAGTGTTTAATAGTTAGTAGCAAACCCAAGCTCCGCCATGGCAGAGATGGATTTTGTCCCCAGCGAGCGCAAACCTGGAGAGGCCACGTGAGATTCATGGTGGTTGATCGTAAAATGGCGGTTTTGCCAAGATCTATATAACTGTTGTTTTTTTCAAATTATGTGCTCACAGTGTTCTTGATGTGCTGTTTTGTTTTACATGTTTAGATGATGTTCTTGATTTGTTGTTTTTACATGTTTAGATGATTGTTAATGTTCTCCATTGTTTTGGGCACTAGCTACAGATCAAGTATGCTAAAGCTTTGTTAAGAGATATAAACAACGCGTTTTCGAAACCGTATCTAAGGCTTAAGGTCAGACATGTGCCCAGCAAAAAATGGCGAAACAATGTTGCATGTATTTTCATACATGGTTGGACCAGACTCGACAAGTTTAGAAGTTCAGACTCATTCACGGTTGGGTCATCGTTAGAGGATGTAAGAGGTACAATCACACCTGTATCGCTTCCAGAAATGTCACGGAAGGCACATGCATGCTTGAGTTAACAGTTAACACTTCAGATCCACAAACTGACCCCATGTTGGCATCGAGATTTTTACAGTGTAATACAGTGCAATCTATTGCGGATATCTAGCACGCCCCAAAAAGATAGAAAAGTCAAATCCGAAAGGATCACTAACTGTACAATATATTTATTTATATACATATACATATACAGTATATTTGTGTGTATATATATATATATTATAGTGTATATGTATATATATATATATACATAGAGTGTATATACATATATATATGGTGTATATATGCAGTAGCCGGATGTAGTTGAAATCCAGAGACTTTTTTTGGGGCGATCCCCCGGGATCTCGAGCCAGGACTGGACGACCCAAGTGAAATCCAGCAAAAGCTGTGATTCCGCGGCCTCGACACATGCGCAGGAGATCCCCTAACGAAGGAACTTACCTTAGGTTGTGAGGAACCTACCTGCCTTAAGGATAAAATTTACCCTGGGGTATAAAAGATGTTACCCTGGGATATGAGTTTAAAGTCTAACCTATGGTTTATGAAGGAAATCATCTACAGTGGCTCGACCCAACATCTATGCTGGAGGGTATGTCGCGACCTATCCCATCCTATCTCACGTGAAGCCATAGCTTTGCAGGGAGCAAGTTGCAGCAAGTTGCAGAGAAAAGTGTCCCCCCAGTTTTAAGTTGATTTATGAAACAATTGATGATAAGTTAAGTATCATAGATCATAGTTATATTGGAATTCTGTTCACCCGCTTAGCTATCGCAGGACGTCTTCCAGTTGAGGCGTCTTGGAGTCACCTTTCGGGTCTGGGGAGACCATGATTTGTTGGATGATTTCTGTCATCCAACGCAAGGAGAATACAAAAAAAAATATGAGATGGAAAGATAGATGGTGCCTGGAAAACCTTCAAGACTGTTTAAACAAATGGGCGGTTCCTAAAATGGAGGATCCCCAATAGCTGGATGGTAAGGGAAAATCCAATCTACAAATGGATGATTTGGGGTACCCCAACGGCTTCAATCAATGACCTGAATCATCCTGTCCAAGGACAGAAGTGACGGAGGACCTCTCACCCAAAGGCTGGAACACTGATTTGGTCGAGGCTGGCGATGCCGCCGTGGAAAAATGTCGCGACGGTCAGTCGTGAAGTCGTTGGATTCTGGAAGGTTGGAGAAAAATCACCGAATTGTCACAACTTTCTGGGCTTTAAAATGTCCAATGCCCAGGCCCCTTTTTGGCGGAGTCTCATGGTACCAAGGCAAACCATGACTTGGAGACCGGAGCGAAGATGCAGTGCTCTGGTGAGGCGCGACCCCAAGTTATGGCATGTCTATCAAGGAAAAAAGATGGAACAACATTATCAACCATGAAATCAAAGCTGTTTGGCTTGCTTTCATGCTGCTTTTTTTGCAGTATTGCCCACTCCAGGCAAGAACAGTCCCAAAATGCTCAAGATAGCAGTCTTTAAGACCGATTTTGGTAAGCGATGGCTTTGGGCTACCCCCTGACCCGATAGCCAATGTAATGGGCTATCGGGTGAAAAGTCGGCCCTGGATCATGGATGGATTTATTGAAGTTCTCAAGGCTATACCTGTAGTATCCTGAAGCATATGTTAAATTTTGGTTTGTGTCCTTCGGATGACTTGCAAGATTTAACTATGTACATTTCACTAGCCATTTCAGCTGACATCGGATCTTCAATTAAGTCACTGAGTTTAAGAGAAATGTGGGTGGAAACACAGTTTGGTAAGAATCCTTCGGGGGTGTGGGTTTGTCTCCAAAATGGTGAGTGCCCCCAACACTTGTCAACGGGCAAACATGATAACCCAATCGATTTGAAGATTTTCCCCAAGATTTTCAGTCAAACCCACGCTTTTTTTTGTGAACAGGAAAGCATCACTAAACTGTAAGTTTACTACAAAGTGGGGCCCCCAAACGATAGGTAAGCTGGTTAATAACTCCAATTTCACTATGGTTTATGGTAGACATAGCATGACATAGCTATAGTTACTATAGTTAATGGGTTTTTTTTAACCAACTTACAACTGTTAATGGGGTTTTATAAACCAACAAACATCACTGGGGGGCACCACATTGTATGTAAGAAATCACATCTTGTTTTTTCCCGGAGCTCCAGCACCTTGGGTTCTGGGAGGCTCAAGTGGAGCCCTCCACACAGGTGGCCTATCGTGTTTTTGTACATCCCTGGTGCTTCATATCACAACCCAAAACATCTGTCCATATAACCTTGGTTTTCTATGTGGTATTCTTCCATTATGTTCCATTTATATTTGGGGATCAGATTTTGGGAATTACTTTCATGGTTGCACTGTATTCTTGTTAAGAGTTTGTGAATGCTTGTGCTGATGCCGTTGAGAATGGGGGGTTTTGGATGTGACGCCACGAATCGCAGCCCTGTTGGGCATGGAGCGCCAACTGAGTGGGTTGAAGCCGATGGAGCTCAACATAGCTCAACATAGCTCAACCATTGATGGGTGTAACATGGTGCGTCAATGGTCTGAGTTGTTTGATTTCGAAAAGAAATCGAAACCAAAGGCATTTGCTCGGCCACGTTTGCACTTTACATGCTGTTATGCCTGCAAGCAACTTCTGCCATGAACATGGATTTCGACAACAGATGTCTTACTTACACAGGCTTGGTGTGAACTCCCTGTAAGCCTTCGTGATGGCGGCTCAGGAGAAAGTGCCTGAGACTTCAAGAAAGCAGAAGGAGGCCATTTGGATCCACTTGAGGGTTTCCTAAAGTGGGGGTACCCCCAAATCAGGCAATTTCATAGGATTTCATGGGATTTGATATTATAAACATGTATAAATCATCAATCTTGGGGCACCATTTATGGAAACCTCCATTCGAACAGCAAATTTGTGAACACTTTAGAGGGCTGAATAGGGTTGGTGTATCTTGCTACTCCCAAGGTAGAAGGACTTCCAGATTTTGAAGCCAACGGCGGTGGGCTTCCAAAGTGCCAAGTGAAAATGATCTTCTATCAACGGGGGAAGTACCTCAAAGCCAGTACTGTAAGTAAATTATTGCCACATTGGCGGGAGTATTTTTTTTAGCGCACCTTTATTTACATCATTCCCCCCAGTATTTATCGGATGTTGGCAGCATTGATGGAGGGATGATCAATTTACATCCATATTTGTCAGCTAATTGCAGTACTTCGAAAAAACCGGGTGCCTGAACAGGTTTGGTATGTCCTGATGACGATGTTGTACTTTGTCTATCGCAGCCGGAGCCTAAGTTGGCCGCCGGGCCAATTTGTTGGTTGACTTGGGGTACCCCGATTAGAGGAAACCTACAGCTGCTTGATTACTGCAAAGTGTGATACTTCTGATACTCCAAGGTAGGAACCCCATGGCACGTTTATTTGCAGATATGATATATTTACATATACATATATATATTTAGGTGTACGGTATACATAATAAAGATATCAAGATTACAACGGTTTCCAAGCAGCATGTGATCCAGAGGTTGTGAAGACAATTGCTCATAGCAAGCACTTGTTGTGGCCAAATTTCCCAACTATTGACTACATCTTCAGCCCTCATCCTGGCCTTACGATGCCAGTCTTGAAATTCTGAAAATTTGGAGTGTAAGTACACTATAGCAATGCCCAAAAACAGAGAACAGTCTGATCCTACTAAAATAGTGAAGAATTACTCTCCGTTTCTGAAAAAAATGGTGCACAAAAACATGCTTCACCATGCTTCAACTGGGCCCATATCAGTCGAGGTCAAGAGGAGTCGATCTTCACCCCGAAAGCCTTCAGCTTGCGTTGGAACGACCTTGCGCCCCGTCTGAACTGCGCCCGACTGGGGTGTTGAAGCTGTATCCTTAAGTTATTTGATAGTTGCTTACGAACCCCTTGGTAGCCTTTGGTGATTGAACGATATTGAACGTAGATATTGAAAATCATCATTTTAACAAGTACTCATCATTAATCATGGAAAATTATGATAAAGTTGATACATCATCGAGCTAAATGAGCCATGGCGTAGCTGTTGAAAGGCACAGCCCGGTTGGCGTCGTGACCTAAAGCATCCCTTGTTATTGGTTGCTGCTTAATGAACCCTGAATAGACCCATATTGTGGGCTGAATGCCTAGGATTTTTGTTGACCATGCGCGAGAAACTTGATTTGTTTGGAGAAGTTCATGCGGACAGTGTGCTGCACTTTGCACCTTAAGAGATTCGCATGCAATGGTAATATTACATCAACAGGCCGAGAAAGGCAGCCCTTGGATCCGTAGGGTGTTGTTTGGGCCGCCAGGTGGGCCTGATTTTCATTGTTTCCTTCCTCCTGACTCGAAAGCCGAGACTTGTCAGAACTGGGCTGGAAGAGCCCCAGGTGGAGGAAGGCATTGCACGATCTTGTTCCACTTTATTTCGTTCAAAAGTTATATCAGCAGGCTGAACGTTGATCGGTGCTTAGTGCTCTATATAATCCTAGATGTTTATATATATATATAATTATATATAATATATATAATTATATATATATGTATATATGTGTATATATATATATATAAATATATCTCTTTACTGTAAGTACAAGTATACACATGTGTCATCTTATCTGACATTACTTCACACTATTCGCAAAGAATGTTAACTGACTTCAGCCCTGTTGGCCTTCAGTGTTTTGAAGAACCTTCTGAGAATGGCTTCAAGGTCTTCAAAAATCGGGCGGTGGGACTGGTTCATGTGGGTCAAACTAAAAACCAACCAAAATTGGGTGTTTGCCAACAGAAATGGATGATGACGATGATGGTGACGATGATGATGGATGATTGTTATGTATCTAGATCTGTGAGAGTTTGGGCCCCATTCCATACGCAAACTATTCGGGCATAGACCATACTTGCATATGAACAATCATAATGTGGTAAACCCCAAAAAGGCAATCATAGTAACCATACCTACTTTCACAAGAAAATGCTTGCTGCCAGATCTTCGAACAGTGGAGGTTTATGGCATTGGGTGGCGGAAGGCTATCCGTCAATCCATTGATTTTCCACAGATGATATCCCTATCATATCCCTATCATATCCCCATCATCCCCCTTGCGGGAAAAACAACGGAGTTTGTGACACCCCGGACCTATCAGGAGTTACTTGGTCTACGCCATCAACCCCTTCCGAAATGTGGTGATGATTCTTCTTCAGACCATTTGGCCCAGGATGAAACTTGGCTCAGTTTTTTTTCTGGGATGGATTACGGCAAGATGGCTGCAAAGGAAATCACTAAGTTGGTATTACGTAGTTATAAGTTATACTTCATGGGGTTCATATGGGTTTATAAACCAGCTTATATTTGGGAGCCTCACCTATTGGTTGTTGAACCAAGATGAGGAACCTTCCCAGGGCGTTTTTTAAGGGCGACGTCACTGGAATGATGCGAAGATGATGCGAATTTCCGGCGAAATCTTGGAAGTTATCCAGGATGTCATTGGATTGGTTTAAGGGAAAATATACAGGAAACCATGGTTTTTTTTACCATGAAATATGGGGGTTTCCTGTAATTGTTTCCCTTAAACAAATCCAATGAAGATGACTTCTTGATATTTTTCATGCAGGATGTTCAATGATTAGTACCATCCTGTTTCGGAATGATGACCGGGGATGAATAATTAAAATACCCTTTGGTAAACTAGCATAACTATGGAAAATCACCATATTTATTGAGAAAATCTACTATTTCTATGGCCATTTTCAATAGCTATTTTGACATAACCAGAGGGTAGCACTTTACACACCATGAATGGGGAACTATCACTGCCATGAAACGTGACGGGTTTTTTTGGTGCCAGGCAATAGCCTCCACGGCGGAGAAGAGATTCGTTGAAGTCGTGGTATCGAGGAGAACCACCCATAAATTGCTTCCTTCGAGTGATCCCCACCAACTGACTATTCATTTCATAATAACAATAAATGATTTGTAATGATATGATAATGATAATACCCTGTCATCAATAGTGATGGGAATTATTATCAACCTCCAAAATGCGATCAGAATTGGCACCCTCTATTAATCAACTGGGAGTTCTAGCAAAATCCTAGGTTATCAATTGTTATATGATAGTATGTATATATATAATATATTTTTATAATTCGTGTTATGCAGATGTCAATATATTTAACCTGGTGGGAAATCCCCCAGCGATGCCATGGTGAATCTCAGGAAAGCAGAAGAGACCAACCCAGAGTACTACCGCAACATTTCATCAGCTGCTTGCAAAAAGTTATGACGGCTTTCTGGTTTCATGATGTTTCATGTATTGTGACAAACCCTCACTGGGATCAGGGTCCCAATTCAGTCACATGGTGCAGCATGGTGCATCCATACGATGCTGGATGTGTCTAGCTTGCCGGGTGTCTAAGTATCACCAGTGGGTGCTTGTATCATTGTGTATCCATTTCCCGCTTCCTTCAGGCTAGCATCCAGCTATGCTCTGCATGCGCCATTTGGTGCCTTGCTGTCAATCAAGTCTGAAGGTAAAAGAGCTTGGGATGGAACTGGGTTAACCTTGTTTTGCCACAAACGCAAACAAGCCAGCAAAACAATCAATACGTCGATTGTTCCAGGATATGTGCAGAATTAAGGTATTTATCCACGAGGATATGATCAAACCCACTCAGATGTTTGGGGTTTTAAGGCACCTGACTCGGTGCCGTTTGTTTTCACAAGGGCCATGGTCAAATTACACGGATTTCAACCATCAAAAATGGGGGATGAAAATGGGTATGTAGTGGAATATTCGTAGGGATGCCAAAGGATATATATATACACATTATTATGATATTATACAAAGTGGGGCCCCCTAGATAGCTAAGTTGGTTAATAACTCCAATAACCATGGTTTATGGTAGATATAACTACGTATAGTCAATGGGGTTGATAAACCAACTTATAACTGGTGGGCACCACATTGTATGTATAACCAACTAAAATCAGAAATTCAATTGTATACCATGATGTACTGATATTGGGGGATGGTCATCCCCCAATAGGAAGTTATGTGCCAAAAGGAATCCCATTCATGATAGTGGGATGACCGTGCTTTTTTACAAAGGCCAATATGTTTTCTCTTGTACGTGGAAGGCACTTACATATTTTGATCTTAGTTCATCCTTGACTTTGTTTGCCTCCTGACGGCCCTTGAAATCCTTTTCTAGATTCTAAATTAAGAACGTCGACCTTCAATGATATGCAAAATTGTGTTTGACGCTTCGCTTGCTATGTGCAAGTTGCGAGTTCCGGTGTTTGCTGATGGATCTACAACCCTGCAGCTTTTGGATACCCGATTTGTTTGCCGTTTGTACACATTGAACTGCTTAACATTTGCTTGTGGCTCAGACGTATTGACCTCCAAACAAAACACTGGCTCAATTTGCCACTATTTGAGTAGGATTTTACTATCCATGTTTTGACGGGTTGCTCTACGGTTCTTCAAAAAATGACCGTCACCAGCTTCCCTCTGCAACGCAGTGAGGTTCCTTACAACACCCCAGCCGATTGGAGTGGGTACTCGCTGGGCGCTAGAGGTGGGGATTTTTTCAGGGGCCTGGGGATCTGGGGACCTGGGGACCTGCAGTTGGGATGTTAAAATGTGATTTACCCAGGTTTTTTTTAAACATAGCTATGGTAGAGATGGATAGATGGCCCATTTAGTTCGATGATTTCCCGCTTTCGAAAACGCTGATTGTTCATAATTATGTGATTTTAACGGTGATACGTTGAATTTACCAGACCCAAACTATTTGTATAGCACAGGTCTTGCAAAGAACCTATTTGTACGGCATGACTCTTGCAAAGAAGCTGTCGCAAACGAGAATTTCAAAAAATCCACACATGAGATTTTTACACCCCATAAGTTCGGATCTAGTCTATAATTAATATAGACATTTACGGTGCCCACTTATTAAGGGCAACTGCACCCCCAAGTATGTCTGGAACGCGGATGTGAGGATCCCGGAGGAAATGATTTTCTCCATCATTTTGGACCAGTTTTGCAGAACGAAAATGCATTGGTAACATTTGGTAACCCCAAAAGGGGTTGAAGATTCCATAGAAATTCTATTCATGCATGCGTTACAGCAGACTTGACCTTTGTTCTCTTGGGACTTGGGTTTAAAACATACGTATTCTTGTCATGAACCAGGGGTTGGAAGGGGTTTGACTCACCTATAACATCCTAAAGTCCTATATACCGACGTCACCCACTTGGGTTTACCAAGATGCCCCCTTTGAACCAGGAGGCGATGGGGGGAAAAGATGGTCTCCTGATTCGATCTCAGGAGATGATCCCGATCAATTCATTGATAGGTTTCCTTGTGTGGGTGGCGTTGGCCAGGCTCCCCATGACTGAAATCACTGAATTGGTGTCTCGTTTAGTGAATTGATGTGAATTGGTCGCGCCAGATGCCATGCCTGGACACTTCGTGCCTCCGTGGGCGCATGCAGCTTGGCGATCATGGTGAGAAGTGAGAAGACCATCTTTTCGCATCTGAAAGTGGTGAATTGATGTGAATTGTGGTTGGAGATTGCTGCAGTTGCAGCCCGTGAGCTTGTCACAACTTGAGGTCCTGTCTCAAAAAATGGTTGACGCGAGCGGCTTGCAGCGTTCATTTTAACGTCCAGCGTTGGAGGTGGTGGATTGTTAAGGTGGAAGATGGAAATAGCGCAATCAAAATCATAATCTGTTTCCATCCTTTTCCCCTATATAATATTTAGACATATTTAACAATTTTAACATCCAATCCAAAGCCTAGTTCGATAATTGGATTTGTTGATTTTCGGGGCCTATACAGGATGTAATTATTTGATATTGGGATGTGATGGGATTAGCAGAAGTAAGTGAATGTAAGCAGGTAATTAAGTGTGTTTAAGAGAGTATTGAATAATGTTGTTAATTGTTAACCTCTAATCGTTGAATTCCAGGGTCAAAAGTCGGATCACTCATATTGGGGGATGGTCATAACTCCATAGATAGGGAACAAACATGGCCAATGTAACTTACGGATTCCCAATAATGATTGATAGGATGATCATAATCCATATAACTCCTTCTCTCCAATATTATATAAACACCCCCCCAGAACACATCAGAACACATGGTTTAGTAGGGGATTTGGTTAGTAGTGGATTTAGGGCCAATTTTGGGATCCATTGGGTGTTTAATATCAAGCGGATTGGATTTATCATGCTTTGGCCATTGCACATTTGTGCCAATATTTTACCAATATTTACCAGTATTTACCAGCATTTACCAGTCCAAAGGCCGCCATGGCTTGCCATGAAAAAGTCTGTTGGTTTTTTGGACGGGGAGGGCGGGAGTCAAAAACTGGAAAAGGAACAGGCAACAGAGAAAAATGCATAACTGGTTGGTGGCTTAGAACATTTGGATTATTTTTCCATATATTGGGAATAGCAACCCCAACTGACCAATATTTTTCAGAGGGGTTGAAACCACCAACCAGATAACAACATATTTAGATAAAACATCCGAACATGAAAAAAATAGGGAAAGCAACACAAAATATAAACGATTTGTCAACAAAAACAAGAACCAGAAGAATAATGAAGCTGATTCGGTTTCACTGAAAACCCATCCACTGAACTTGAGGTCGTGAATTTCCTGCTGATCGCCACTGGTATTGCTGCAGTTCTCATGGCCTTAGAGAAGCAAACTCATGGGTTCCATAGCCTGCACACGGAGGACCGCAGCTGTGAAAAGCGGTAGCGAAAACTATGAGCAGAATGATGTTTTGGTAGGTTCATGGGCAAGAATTCAGCCACAAGTGGAGAGAATGCCCAAATTGATCCAAATTACCCAACGAAATGATTGGGAATCTCCAGGTTTCAGTCTCCAATGACAAAATGATTGGCAATTGCCCAACTACAAAATGGGACATACCAAACTTCCAGATTTCTCCAAACTTTGGGATCCCTTCGGGTCGGATGATATAGGGGGATTTTGGGCCCCAAAAAAGGATAGAATAGAAGTAACTCTTCGCCATTCCAGTGGGGTTTAGGATAGTTTTGTTTTTTGTTCTCACAAATATATGATATATGAGTGGTTGTTAAATGTATGCTACATGTTCTATTCAATGGTTGTGCAATGGTTGTGCCAGTACCCATTCCCGTCTTCCCCTCGTTTGGCGTCCGATTCGTCGCGTTAGGACCACGGTTGGAAGATCATTTTGTCAGTGGTGTTGCTCGGCCATGATGGGTTGGTCAAACGCTATAGCAGTTACGTAAGTGAAACAGTGATGGATATGCTAAGAGCACACAATAGTACAGTCATATACAATCATAATTCATATTCATAATACTACCATGACTAATAGGAATTGATGCACTAGTACAATCTTAAAATATCGTCACACGAATTTCATGCTCGATTACGTTGGTGTAAAAAAATGTTGGTCGGAGTTTTTTCCGAAGCGACCCGAGGCTGGGTGTGGCGGAAGAGGTGACCTGGAGAAATGTCTACATGGCAGACAATAACAACTCCATGCAGGCGGCCAGTGATGGGCCGTGGATGGGCCAATTTTTTCTGGGGCAATAGTTAAAGAAGGGCTGATTCGTGATTGGCCGTAAGGCCAGATGAAATCCTCAAAGAAAATAAAAGAACTCTGCGTGATTTGGGTTGCCAAGGATTTGATTGTTGAGCTTTCACCAATATCAGGACCCAAGAATCGCTCCGGGTGCTGAGTGGCTGAGTCCATGATTTTCCCATTAAAACATCTCCATTTAGTTCAGGGATATCCCATCAATTGCCATGAAAATCACCACCGGGGCCGATTTGGGATTTGATCCACCAGGCCTTCACTTGGGGTGTAAACCACATCGTTGCCGGCACCGGGATGAACAATCCATGGGTCTATGGTGTAGTCAGTGGGAAGCTCGGCGATGTTGGACAGGATCTGGGAAATCCACTGGACTAGTTGAGTACATCTTGGACTGGTTGGTGCTTTGGAACATTTGGATTATTTTTCCGTATATATATATATAAACATATATATATATATAAACATATATATATATTATTTTATATTTTATATATATATATATTTTTTGGGAATAATAATCCCAATTGACTAATAAATATTCTTCGGGGTAGGTCATCCACCAACCAGTAGAGTTTTGGTGTGTTTTTTGTTAGATGTCCGACGTCGAAACGTCAGATGTCTGACTAGCACTCAACAAAAACAAGCAGGGAAGACATACAAAGTGGGCCCCCCTATGGTTTATGGTAGATATAACGAACTAGTATTCATGGGGTTTATAAACCAACGTTCACATCACTGGAGGAAAAAAACACATTGTAGCCATGTTTGATGATATTTTTGTGCTTGGGGAAATGAGTATCTACGATTCGCCATGATATTTTGTTTTCTTTTGAGGCCCTTTTTTGGGTTGCTACGTTGATAGACGGCCGAAAATGGCGATGGTTTGACCTGGGACAGTCCCTGACTTTATGTTTGATTTCTTCACTTTTTTTGCATCATTGAAAAGAGTTTCATTGACCCTTGTGAAGGTGACAAAGCATTCTCTCTGCATAGTGATGGGCATGTATAACTAGCAGGGTCAGTTTCATCCCCCCATTTATCTAGAATAGACAGAATAGACATCCTTTAAAGTATTTATAACCTCGTTTAAGCAGGGTCCCAAAATCTTTCTCTGGGGGTTATATCTATGCTGCTGGTTCATGGGGGATTCTTCCCCACAAAGTGGGCAACTATGGCCAACTAAAAGCCTGCACCAAAGCCTGAGGAGTTACGCTTTTTGCCTCGGGGTGACGCCTTATGTCACCCTGCGTTTTTTCCACCACGCCGCAGTGGAGTATTTTGTCATCGCCCCTTGCTGGGAAAATGCTGAGGCTTACCCTCTGGTTATTTTACTTGTAGCGAACTGGAAAATCACCATTCATGATAGGTAAATCATGATAAATCATCTATAAATGGGCCATGGTCCATAGTTATGTTTCCAGAACCAGATGGTAGCATCGAGTTGACAAACAGTTTGCGAACTGGAAGTTCCCCATGTTTCTGGTAATTTATGCTTTAAAAAAAATACAATGTATATAATATTATATAATTGTATATATATATATACTATACTGGTATACCTTGCTAGCTCCGTTGAACTCGGCGGAGGGTTGGGTCTTCGTGGGATCCATGAATTTTCTCTCATCCCATGGGGCAAGATGGGGTTATAAACCAACAACTGGGGCCCCATCCTGTACTAAAGTCTAGGAGTCTAGCCACGGTTTTTTTTGAGGAATTGTTAGGCTATTTTTCATGTATTTATTCATGGGGAAGGGATTGGTAGCAAGCGAAATATACCGCATGTTTTGGAGGCTGATAGTGGATAATCGCGGGCAATTCCCCAAGAGAATGATATGAACAGCGGGAATGTTGGCAAGTAAGCTCTGGATCTTTGAGTAGATTCTGGTCTAACTGCAATGAAGCAGTGAAGATATGTCAGTTTGGTGAACCCCACGCTGCGTGTCTTGGACCAATCCACTAAGGACAACTTGGTGAAACCAGAAGGGCATCCCATTTGGTTGACGCAAAGCGTCGTTTGATCACCGCACCTTTCGCTCACTTGGAGCGACTGTCGCTATTGTCTATACTGGGGTAGGGGATGTCAGAGGTGTTTGGAGGAGATAAAGAATAAAGGATGGGGAGTTATTGGTGGGCTATAGCTGGACATTGCTGGTCACTGGAGAATGTTTATTCGGATGCATTGGGGATTTGCGAACATGACGCGATAACAATCAAAAAACTGAAGTTTCAAACAGGTGGACCTTCGGGATGGCGATGGAGAGAGAAATAGGTGAATCATGTCGGGCGTAAATACCACCAGAACTACCAGAACTGGTTTCAAGATTTTCTTCAACGGAACTCACTTTTTTAATGGAATGAGAACAGTGCGGTTGTTTTTACTGCATGTGTTCCACGCTACAGTGCTACGGTCCATACTTCACTCCATGTAAGTAATACCAAGTTCAGAATTTGAAGTGAAACTTGGCACTTATTTTGATAAGTTCAGCAGCTTCCCATTTATTGAAGTGTCCCATTGTCGCTCTCCGAAGCTATCCTTCATCCCAGCTCCCAAATTTTGAAGTTTGGAGTCAGCGTTGGACCCTAAGGGCCATCCAGACCCCAACACCCTGCCCTTGGGCGGGCATAGCCACTTCGGGCGAAGCCACTTGCGGAGTTGCCTTTCCTTGAAGTCGTTGGGTCTTCGGAAACTTGGGACAAAACAAAAAGCAAAAGAAAAAACACTCAGTTTGTAGCCATAACACAACAAAGTGGGGCCCCCTAGATAGCTAAGTTGGTTTATAACTCCAATAACTATGGTTTATAGATGATATATCTACAGTTAATGGGATTATAAACCATAACAAAAATTGAAAAAGGGCCGCACCAAAGTTGCGGCACCGCTGGGGTCCATACACAGCTTCAGCCTAATTTCAGCCGCAGGTCCAAAAAGAGCAAAGACAATTCGATCAACAAAAACACATTTCTTAGGGATTACTAGGGAAACCATGAGATCACACAAGGGTTTGAGTACAATATGTTTTGAACGATGTGTTTGAAGTGTTAGAGCAAGATGTGTTCGGAGATGTGTTTGAAACAGCGCCGCTGACGCTCCAGCGTTTGAGCAAGCCCAAATATTTGAGCACAGAGCGTGGTTGCACATTTTGCCAGCCTGGGTCGGATTCAGAGCAGTTCTTTCAAGAATCATGGTTTGATTGCATTTTAATTGGCAAACCAGGAAGTTTCAAAATAAAGTACAGCACCCGCATGCACCCGCTGGGGTCCAGAGTGTTGTTTGTTCAGTTCGCACAAACCTGCGAGGGTAATGCAGCAATGCAGCTACTTTTCCAAAAGAAGAAAGAGTATATATATCGGCATTTCCTGAAATAAGGGTACCCCTAAATCATCCATTTGAGATTGGGGATTTTCTTTTTTTTTAACCATCCAGCTGGGGGATCCCCCAGAAATTGGAAACCCCCATATTAGACTATAGTAGGAAACCCATTTGTGCCATCCAAATCTGGTCCGTGTAGGGCTTCATTACACCTGACCAGACTGTCGCTGATGCTGCTACCATGCTGTCACACCCTGCGAGGGCGGGTCATTTTTGTTCGTGGGCCGCTTAGAAGTGCAAGGGGAAAGCCACTAGATGAAGATGATTTCGCTTGAGCTTAATTTAGCTCTCATGTTTCAAAGTGCAATATACAACTCCTTGGTTCGTGCTTTCATGTTTCTTTTGTCAACAAACCTATGATTCGGTATGACTTATTGGACTGCTTGGTGGTTTCGAAGATTTTTGCCAAAGTTCATCCAAAGTTCAACCGATTGTGGGATGAAACCACCAGATGCTGAGCTGCCGCGATGCACAGGATGCTCGACTGCACAAGTAGTTCGCTGGAAAATTCTTTGAGCAGATTGCCCGGCTGGTGCCAGAAGGCCCAAGGCTAGATTATTTGATTTATTTGGCATATGGATCACTATGAATACATATAAATACTTTTTTTGGGGGGGTGGATGAACATCCATTTGCCAGCTGTTTTGATGTTAATGTTCAGTGTTCACCAGGGGGGCTTGGCTGATAGCCAGACTGGCTAAGGCAACTGGAAGTTTCCTACGTTTGGCATTTTGGATTTAGTAGATGGCTTTGTTTACCGTACTAAACAGCTAACCAATGGCCATTGCAGGGACCTAAATTGGAGGTACCTACCATATATAAGGTCTATGTAAGGCCTATGTAAGGGGATATCCCTAGAACATATGGCCTTATATGGTACAGTACCTCCATTTTAAGTCCCTGAAATGGCCATTGATGTTTGCGATTTGCTGTAAGTGCGGCCATGTGGACGTGACTTGCAGAACCAACCAAAACCCCATCCACAAATACTCAGAATAAGAGCCTGGACAATTAATTTTACACCCCGGTGGATTGAATATGGATCCCAAAAATTACCAAATCCCTTAGGAATCTTAGGAACCTCATTTTCCATCCCATGCTAAATTTAGGGGATGCAACCATATGCAACCCACGGTTTCATCATTCTACTGACTGGCGCCGGCAAAATGTTGGGGATCAGTGGGGCGCGCAGCATCATTTACCTTCCAATGTTTTACTTCGCCGAAAAAAAAAATACCAGGATTTACCATCATTTACCGCTATGATGGCAGTATCTTAGGGATTTTGACCATCATTTACCATCGTTTTGGGCCAGTCGCGCCGACGGCTGCCCCGGGGGCCGCTGGACCTTAGCCGTGCCGAGTTGGCAACGCGTCGGCTGCCGTAGGCAGCTGATCGACGTTTTTCGATGTCCGTCAGTGGGGCAGCTGCAAAAGCTCCGCTGGGCGGTCAAGAATCAGATTACCCTCTGGTAATGACGAACAGTTTGCTATGGCAAATGATGAAATTGGATGGAAATGGTCCTTTTATAGATGTTTTACAGATCCTATTTATGGGTCATGATGAGGATAATGCGTGTTTATTGTTCCAATGGAAAATTCACTAATTGCGGAATCTATAGTTTCTCTTGAAACATATGAATATGTCAAATATAAATATTCCTAATAATCGTCTATATGACTATTTTGGTTGGATTTCAGTGATTTCACTATTCTATCTCTTTGTTTTTTTTAAATAAAATATGGAACATTAGATAGATAATGATAGATAGTGAGAAATAGTACATATGTAGTGAACATAGTGTACTTTCAAATATTCTATGTTTCACTCTTATCTTCTTGTGACTTCTACTTTGCATCTGGGTTACTTTCAGTGACGTCTGGGGTCATCTCTACAAGCGTCAGGAATCCCCCTCTCCCATCCTTTCAAGTCATGACCTGACACAATGACGTACCTCCTTCGAAATCAATGGATCCAATGCTTTACCTGTGCCGCTGTGATTTTTCTGAGTTTGCGGAGTCATGATTGGGATTTATTGGGTATAGTTCTAGTTGGGATGATGTAAAATTACCCCAGAACTACTGTTTTTTTTAAATCTGTTTTGGCTGTCTCTTCTGGCTGGGGGGCAACGCTTCACACATGAAAGGCAGAAGTCTCCAAAAAAGCCCGCCTGAAAGATGATTTGGAACCAACAAAAATCATCCCTTCCCACCAGCATTGAACAGTATTGGATCGATTCCTTTGCGTCCCAAGACTTCGGTGCATTTGATATATGATCTTAGTGGACAACATCATCAATCCCAGACTTGGCTTAAGGACAACAACATCTACTCTCTGGTAATTTGACGTAGCCATCGAGCATGTCCCTTTGTAGTTGATTTACCTCTTATACATGGTGAATTTCGCTATCTTGGTTTACTGAGGGTACATGTAATTGATGTCGAAATCCATAGTTTCAACACGTTTCACCCGCAAGAGATCCCTCCTGCCCGTCAACAGGATCCGTATTCGCTCAGCTACCCGACGAGCCCTGAGAGGCAAGCCATGACCGATTCGGACAAGGCTGCGGAGGGGACTCCATGGACTCCATGGTGCTGGTATATGGGGCAGGGGTTCTTAATGGATATTACTAGGGTAATACCACTTATAACTATTATAACATATTATAACTGGAACTGCCCCCCAGGTATATTCACCTATAGATTTGGGTAACTCTTGGTAAACATGTTGGTCTCTCTCTTTCTCTTTCTCTCTCTCTATATAAATATACTATATATATATATTGCCATGGAGCGGATGGGATTGGCTTCGGTTAAACTTGTGAATGAGTTGGTGGATTTTGGTGGTTGTTTGTAATCCAGTGGTTTACGTAGCTTTAATCATGAATGAAGACTTGCTACTCAAAGTCATCAACCACTCATTATATACCTGAGTGGGGTTGACAGTCCCAAACCCTCCTGTAAACCCAACATGAAGCGAAATCACATGTTTCTGTGTCAAAACTGAGCAGATCCCCGAACATTATTGAAATTTATATCTAAGTTCTTCTTAAATATGGAGAAGAAAAGGCTGAATACACCAACTTAAAGGACAACTATACAATGTGGTGCCCAGTGATGTTTGTTGGTTTAGTTTCACCACATGAACTAGTTCGTTATCCCCAGTGATGTTTGTTGGTTTAGTTTCACCCCATGAACTGTATAATTATATATAAAGTTTTATCTACCTACCAAAAACCATAGTGAAATTGGAGTTATTATGTGTTATTAATGAACCTGACAAACAATAATTAGTTTTTATCTACCATGACAAACATGGATTGTATCAAACATGTCTAGCTGGGGAAATCTGGAAATATCCTAAACCCCATGAATATTGTATCGCAAACCCAATCGTGAAATTGGAGTTATTAACCTGACAAAAACTATAATTATAGTTGAAATTGGAGTTATGATCACCAGCTATCCTCAGGACGGCATTGGCAGCGAAGATGCTGCCAAGCCCAGCCCGGCCAGTCCCGATCAACGTACGCGGGGCTGACGCGGTGGACCGTGGTGGACTGCGATGGACCACTGGGGCCACTGGGAGATGGAAAAACCATACGGAAAGAAACTGGTTGGTGGTGACTGGAACATGTTTTTTCCCATATATATATATATTGGGAATTTCATGATCCCAACTGACTAATAGTTTTCAGTACCCAACTGACTAATATTTTTCAGTAGGTGA